CACAGGCAGCAAACACAACTTGCAGTCACATCAATTAATAATTCAAAATTTAAGCTGAATTTCAGCTGGCGAGTCCCAGCCAATCACGCCGGTAGCCAAGATCTGATTGGCTCGCTGGACCTAGCTCACAGTCGTATGTTGCCCTAATTTTGTTATACCACACACATTCAATGACTTGCGCCGACTTGCTGTAACGTGCTGGCCTGAGTAAACTCTCTCTCCCTCTGGCTGACTGGTCTTCTCTTACGGGCTCTTTGGTTCGGCGTTCGTATTAAGTAAAAGTACCAGGCGCGGGTCATAACAGTACTAAATTGCGTATCTTGGATTGAGTTCACCTTAAGAGGTAACTCTGACCTCCGCCGTAGGAAGATAAGGAGAAAGTAAGACCTGAATGGTTCCTTCATGTAACTGAAGCCAACTTGCCTAGACGAGACATCCTTTTGCTGAAGTCTGATTCGCGCGCGTGTAGGCATCAGCACGCGTGTTGCATACGTCGACGGTAGCTATGTGCGACATCAGCCATTATTCTAGGCGGAAATGTCGCTGGGCGCTTAACATCGAAAGAGAGATACGCTTTTTTTGAAAATATCCTTCCAAAATTTTCAGCAAAAACGTCCTTCCTTCACAAGGAATAAAATTAGACGCACAAACTCACAACACCGGGAAATCAAGAGCAATCCATAATCGTCAATGACTGCAACTGTCGACATCATGGATAAATGTCCTCCGAAAATTCGTCAAATATATGCCAAATTGGACAGCTTTCAATACGATACTAGTGACGTGCACTGATGACCTAATTGTACTTCAAATAAACAGAGATACAAATCGGTTTATGAAGGACGAAGTAGGCCAACCAACGTATATATAAGAAAATTTACATGCAAATTGAGGGAGGAAGAAATGAGGGCCCAATGTGAAAAGCCGTTCGAGTCCGCAATACAATGCAGAGCATTGGCAGGGTCCCCTTAGCGACTTGTGTCGTGCGGCGACCAATTTACTGTCAGCTTCGAGTACCTGGACAGACTTGTAATAATGCCTCATGTCACCGTACCGTCAATTAGCTTGTGCTCTTGCATTAATCAGTTCAGCCGATCAAGATAATTTTGTGAAACCCTGACGTAAGCACACATTCTTATGAATAACTAAAAGGCACCACTCTTATACACACTTACTTAGTGCCTTCTCTTGTTTTAGAAAGCGCCGTTCTATTAATTTACGAGAGAAGATAGGGGATGGGCTTACCTTTATGAGAAGACTACGACTCGATAGCTGGGACAATACTTTTATTCGCCTGGCGTTTTGAGATCCGTCGCGGATTCGTCATCAGAGACATAATCAGTCAGCAGTAGCAGATATGGGTAGCGTATGCGCAGGACTTTGCAGTAGATATACGATACAGTTATTACTGCAAACATACAACAACACTTAAAGGTAATTGCGCGTTGATAGTTTGTTGAACGGCATGCGGGCTCTGACCTACTGAACTTTCACCACGCGTGGTAGACTTGAGCGTGATGATTGCTCGG